TATACATACATTGTATAAAAGAGTGAGTGGATGATTGATTCAAAAAGTAGAAAGTTCTGATCTTTATGCGCAGACATGCATTACAGTAGAGCAAATAATTATTTATGTCCTCTTCTTAGGCTAGGCATTAGAAACTGAATTTCAAAACTACTTTCAAGTTAATCTCTATTGTCTCCACTGTTTCATTGTTCAGCGGCTCCGTTTTGCTTTGAAGCCTCCTTTAATGCACTAACAACCTAATTATTACCAAGAGCGACTCGACAAGCAAGTAAGAACAATCTTACATCCTAGATAACCTCAGCTTACCGTTTTCACAGACACAGATTAAATCAAGTCTCAGACTGATGAACAACCAAAAAAAGCACTTTGTGTTATTACACAGATAACACTCACATGGGGCATTATTAGCCTCTGCTATCACCTCTGCCCTGCATAACAACAAGAATGTAATGGCTCCAACTTCTTCTTTTATAGCCTCTAAATTACTTTTAAATTGTTCTCTGTTTATTTGACAGTAATTGTTGCCACTTTGCTTGTGTTTGCGTACTGCAGATGTGAAGTTGTTGCCTCCAAGCAACTGAGTTGCAGTGAACTGAAATAATTAGTACATGGGCGTTTGACAAGGAACAACATGATTAATACTGAATTACAACCTGCTGGCATTGCACCATTTTTAATGAGCACACTTAATTAAAACAGCTTCCAAGAAATCATCGCGCCCACTTTGCTGTTGGTGGATCTTCGCATTCAGAGGGTCAGGGGTCTTTCTCACCGTCAGCTCCAGCAGTTCGTTGAGAAGTCCGTTGCGTTTGCTCTGAAGGAAGGCGTTGGCGCTGCCGGACTTGGCTATTCTTATCCTGGCCAGTCTGGCTTTCTGGGTGTGGGAAGAAGAAGAAGTCACAGCATCAGACAAGGTAGGCGGGAGGTCGGAGAAGATGACTAATACCTATTTAATGATAAGAATCTGCCAACTCATCACACAAACTCTGTAGTAATTTTCACAGCTACTACATGACTGCTCTTATCTCTGCATTTTCAAGTTTCTCTCTTTCATTATATATGACAGAGACTGCTGTCATGTTCTCGTGTCTGTAACATGCTGCTACTGAGTATGTCTGTAAGTCGGCACCCAAACAATACACTCATTTGGGATTGCTCAAAATTTAATTTCAAGTCTGAAATGAGCATAAATATGTTGCTATCTAGCTGCTGCAGATTTTTGCTCACATTTAGCTGAAATCCCAGTAGTGATGTTGGGCGATAAGGCCTGGCTCAGTTTCCAGTTTTTCCCAAAGATGCTGACTGAGGCTGAAGTCACCAGCTAGAAAAAGGTTTTAGACAGCAAATTCTACGATAATGGCTTGTCTTTGTGTTTGGGGGAAACATGATAGGATTTCAAGTTACTGGAGGCTTATACCAACTCTAGATTACAGGTGTGCAAGAATATGAGGACCTTTAAACAGGTTTAAAACAGTTAAATAATATGTAAATACTTTGATCAGTTTTTAGTCTAACACAGTGCTCTTTTTAAATATATAAAGATCTCTTATGTTTTATAGAGAAAACAACAATCAAAATCATGAAAGCAATTCTTGGGTAGTTGTAGCTTTAATTGGGATGTCTAACAGCAATTTTGCCAAGGCAGTGTAGATTGAATCAAAAAGCTTTTTTTAATGAATGTCTTCTTTTAACTTTTTATTCTTTCATCTGTAACTTTAGCCCTTATATTTTCTGATTCTTTACAGCTTCGCTTTTTCTAGTTTTTCCTTCCAGTCCATTGATACAGAGTTTGTTTTTTTTGTTTTTTTTTATAATTCATTTTATTTGGATCCCTGGAAGAGCAGCAAACTCTGACTAATCATAAATAAAGAATGAAGAATCACGATGATCTCTTTGAAACTCCAATTTTTGGCAGAAAGTTGTGAGACTTTTGAGTCTGAACCCTTCAGATTGATTCTTCTAAAACAAGATAAAACGAAAGAGTCGGTCCACCAAGAAAAGCAACAACAACAAAAAGTGGGCTCAAACTAAGAAAAATATAAATGCAACGTGAAGCCAAGTCTTGCATTTAATGGTGCTGCAAGCACAAATTGATAATTTGCTGCATTAGTGCCAATTATGCCCATGAGAACCTACTGAGTTCACAACATTGCAAAGTCTGTTTGCCAACATTTATCGGTTTATTTTATTCCCTTTCTGTTGCAGCAAAAAGATAAAATTGCTTTAAATAACAGATAAAATAATAGAACAAAGGAGGCAGGAAATGAGAGAGATATTGCATTAAGGATTTCATAAAATGAAGAGGATATTATGACAACTGTAAGGTGAGCTTTATCTTTAACCTCACCCCACTGTGCTCTCTCTCTCTCACCCCCTTTATATACATTTAAGAAACAGGAGATACCGAAGAACATCTGCTTTCCAGACATGATTCAAAAGTAATATTTAGACGCTTCAAAAACTGCCTGTCAAACTAGTGAAGTTGTATGAAAAGCTGGAACCTGAGAGGTAATAATAGTGCTTGTGTATGTACGTGGTCAGTATGTGAAACAGGGGTAAAATGGGAGGATCATTGACTGCTTCTTTCTGCAGCTGAAGAGTGAATGAATTAGGAACCAGTGAAATTACCGTCACAAGCTGCCTGGCTTTATGATTGATCAAAAGTACTACTTGACACAAGAAAGGGAAAAATATGAAAGAATAAGCGTCTCTGATTCTTCTGTAAGTGCAAAAGGTTGTGCTGAGCGTCTGTGATGAGCTGCTGAGCCCAAACAGTTCTCTAAGAAACTTTTACTCTAAACACATGACAACTCCAGAGGTGTGATTGAGTCTCATTTAGTTCAAAGTTAAAGACAGTGGAAAATATTGAAGCAGATTAAGTCAAACTGCTTTAAAATCAAGTCCCTGAATAGTTAATAAAGGTATCACACATGGATCAATATTTGTCTAGCTGCAATAAAAATTATTTGTTTTCCAACTGAGCACTGTAGTGTTCATTTTTATGCTGTAAACCATTGTGTATGCTCTTGAACGAACTGCAAACCAGGCCTTTTAAAGGTCAATTTGCTTTTGATGGCCTTAAAATCCCATTGATTTAAAAGTTTGTCTGAGCCCCAGAAGGACTGAATGAATCTTTCATTGAAATGTTAGTGAAAATGTAACTGAAAATTCTCTACCAATGACAATGAATTTATTGTTTTGTCCTACAAAACTCATCATCATGAAAATGCCAAACAGAAAAAAATTTATGTTTAAAAGTAAGTAAAAAAATGTAAATAAATAACTGAAACAAACCGAGGAATTTTCATATGTCAGATCAGGGCCGAATCCCAGTCCTCGAGAGCTACTGCAGCTTTTAGATGCATCCCTACTCCAACACAGCTGCATCAAATGGTTGGATTACCTTTTCAGCATGCCACCAAGTTTGGCAAAGGCCTAATAACAAGCCATTCATTTGATTCAGGTGTGTTAGAACTAGAGATGGCACGATACCACTTTTTTATGTCCGATACCGATACTGATATCATAAATTTGGATATCTGCCGATACCGATATGAATCCGATATAGTGTTTTTTAATCAACAAAACTGTTTTTTAAAATATCTTGCTGCATTTTGTATAAGTTCAT